CTGTAAGTAAAACTGGTGAGAGAATTTATGGTTATTTATGGAGTGAAATAGGCTTTGTTGATAATACCCAGGAATAAATTAGTAAAAAAGATCATTATATAACTTTCTTGGCATTTTAGTAAATATATTATGTTTTGTTTGTAAAAAATGTTTTTTGTTAACACTAAGTGTCTATATAATAAATGTTAGTCTTGAAAGGTTAGTGTTTTTCTTAACATTTATTGTCATCCTTGAGAGTTTATAACAAAAGCTTAGACAGTATAAATAGTCGGTACTCCGTTCTTAGATTGTTAGTCTGTGCTATTTTGTTCTCTTGTCTTGGCAACCAGTTATCTGTGCGTACGTGCATACTCTGATCTTGGCAGTTATCGATAACATGGCAAACAACAAGAACAAGAACAAACGCAAATCCCTGACTGTCAACAAAAGAAAACAAAACCGTGTTCGTTGTCACATATGTAACTACGTCATCAGGAGAAAAGAAAACTTAAAATACCATTTAAATACTCATTACGGAAAGCCCTATAAGTGTAAGAAATGTAATAAGGAATATAGCTGGCCTCACTGTTTAAGGAACCACAAATGTGCTTTTGCTATAAATTTGCTCGAATCCAAAGAGAAAGAAAAGAAAGAAGAGAAGAATATTTATTACTACTTTCATTCTGAAAATTCAGACCCCCAAAAATGGGTACCCACCAAAGATGATTTTATTTTCATGTCAGATTTCATAATCTGTATTAAAAGAGGAGAAAAAATATATGAGAAGGCAGGCAAAAATGGCATATACACACGGGGCTATGTATATAATAGAATAAATTCTTCTTCTACAAGATGGAAATGTAGCTACTGCAACAGTAAAATAAAAATATTAAAAAAACAACAATCAATATTTCATAACCACCTACCATCTCGCATTAAATTGGAGGGTACAACATTACCATCAGAGTTAAGAACGATGGAAAAGCTTGTAACTCATATTAAGCAGCAGCAGAAAACGTTTTCCCTGTAAGATAATAGAGGAATAGGAAGGTAGAAGGTAGCAAGTAGCAAGATTAGTTTCAGTAAGAAAAGTAGTTGGAAATACTTTGAAAATTAACTGGGACCCTGACTCATCCATCGATCCCCCCACCCCCACTCCCCTCAAGGGTCCCTGTGTCTCCGTAGCCTATAAAACCAAGCCTATACCAGAAAAGTTTGTTTGTTAATAGCTTGCTCCATCCAGAGTAGTTACTCGTTCGTTACTCCTACCTTGACTTTATACTGCAACCAACAACGGGAAAATATGGATCAGCAATTGAAGCAGGAACACTATGGTAGTCAACCCTTTGATGAAGGAGAGAAAAAGAAGCTACAGCTACTTGATGTTGTGTTGAAAGCTGAGTTTGCTGAGTTGGAAGAAGAAAAAAGGAGGATACTTGATGAGAAAGAACAATTTGAAGAAAAAAAGAGGCTACTTGATGAGAAAGAAGAACTTGATGTTGAGTTGGGCAAGTTGAAAGCTGAGAAAGAAGAACTTGATGTTGAGTCGGCCAAGTTGAAAGCTGTGTTTGCTGATTTGGGAAAAAAGAAGAGGCTACTTGATGAGAAAAAAGAACAATTTGATGCTGAATTGGACAAGTTGAAAGCTGAGTTTGCTGAGTTGGAAGGTGAGAAGAAACTACTTGTGTTGAAAGAGGAAGAAAAAAGATTACTTGATGAGAAAGAAGAAGAAAGAAAGAAAAGGCAACTTGATGGTGAGTTGGCAAAATTGAATTTCAATTTGGCCGAGTTGGATGAATTGAAAGCTAAATTGAAAGGTCAGGAGGTTGAGTTGGATGAGTTGAAAGCTAAGTTGAAAGATGAGTTTTCTCAGTTGACTGAGTTGAGGAAAACGTTGCAGGTTTTAAATGCTGAATTTAGAGAAAGAGAAAAAGAGAAGCTATTTGATACTGAGTTAGAAAAGAAGAGAAGAAGCTACGTAATTGTGGTTACAGAGTGTGATGATGATGATCAGTTGGATGATAATGATGATGATGAGTTAGATGATGATGATGATGAGTTAGATGATGATGATGATGAGTTGGATGATGATGATGATGATGATGATGATGATGATGAGTTGGAAGAGAAAGAAGAGAAGGAGAAGACTATATATTACTACTTTTCCAAACCTTCTGAATTGTCTTCTGACATCAATTTAGACTTCGAAATATCCGAGTCCGAATTTTATATGCTAGATTTCATAATCAGTATTGACAGTGAAGAAATAATATTTAAGGAGGCAGGCAAAAATAATATATGCATGCAAGGCCATATATATTGTAGATCATCTTCAACATCAACAACATGGAAATGTAACGACTGCGACAGTAGAATAGAAATAGTAAAAAAACAACAATCAATATTCCATAACCACCCACCACCTAACATTGAATTGCTTGATTTGTCAATATTATCATTACCATTAGAGTGGAGGACAATGGAAAAGCTTGTAACTCATATTAAAACAAAGTCCAACATAAGTTGTTTGTAGATACATACAGGCCAATTCAGAGTAATCCTCAGAAAACTAGATAATAGCCAACAGCACAGTAAAGCAGCAGAAAAGCCTTCGCAAAATGTTTTCCCTGAAAGTAGTAGTCATAATTTTGCTCTCATCAGTGCACCGCCCTCAAGTGGGCGGCTCTCTCATCAGTGCATCACCCTCAAAAGGGATCCGCCCTCAAGGGTCTTATCAACCCATCCACCTTGTGTGTATGTGTGTGTGTGTGTGTGTGTGTGTGTGTGTGTGTACCTGTGCCTCCGTAGCCTATATAACTAAGACAGACCATCCAAAAAGTTGTAAGTGGAAACACCCAGCTCAACCGAAGTGGAAACACCCAGCTCGACCGATCCAAATGTAAAATGTAGTTACTCTACCTTGACTTATACTGAATAGTAGATTATGGATCAGCAATTGAAGAAAAAGAAGTCTTTTATTTGTAATATATGTGGCAAGAAATTAAGTAGGTTAAGCAACCTTCGCGATCATCAGTTTCTCCATAGTTCAGAAAAAAAATTTAAATGTGAGTTATGTGACAAGCGATTATATACTAAGAACAGCCTTGCCAAACACCGAATCCAGCACTTTAGAAATTATAGCTGCAATATATGCAACAAGAACTTCACCCAAAAATTTCCGCTCTACAAACATATGTTCTCTCATGTTGAGGAGAAACCCTTTAATTGTGAGAGATGTAATAAGGAATTTTGTCGGGAAAATAGTTTGATTACCCACATGGCCGCCACACACCACTCTCTGAATACCGACAATCAAATTCATATTCGCTGTAATATATGCGACAAGATGATAAACAAAAAGAACTTAAAATATCACATTAACACTCATATAACGAAAAATTATGAAAATACATTCAAGTGTAATATATGTAATAATGAATTTAATTTACCGGGACTCTTAAGAAGACATCAGAATCAGACTAAGTGTAGGGTAAGTGTCGTATGGGTGACATGATATGTTTGCATACAGATTCAATTGATAATTTATATTTACATTATCCATTAAAACTATAAAATTTATATATTTTTTATTTTTATACAGAATAACCCATCACCCAGCAACAACCAACAATTTGGATAAACACCAACAATAATTTGGATACCTACAGCATCTGAAGTAGAACAATTTGGGACCTGATTTATGAATAGGGAATGAAATAAAATAAAGCAGAATCCTATCGACCAAGCAACAATTTACAATTTTTGGACCTAATTTCTGATTTATGTTTTATAGTTATATTATGAATGCTGCCAATGTATACAAATTGTGAGGTTTCTTTTATAAAGGTGGATGGACCGGACCAGAATTTTATATACTTATATTTTGAATGTTGTATATTATGAGGGTTTCTTTTATAAAGGGATGGACCAGGATTTTATATGTTATATTATGAATGCTGCCAATGTATATAATGCAATACAAAGTTGTGAGGGTTGTGGTACTTGTATTCCAAATATTATATTTAGAAAAATAAATGAGGATGTTCTTTAATGTTCAATCAAAATGAATTTCTCTTATGGATGATGGTAACATGAATTATTATATTTAGAAAAATAAATGTTGATAAGTTAAAAAAATATTTTTTATTTTATATATTCGCTCGCTGAATTTTTATTCTTGTATTAGATGGGTGGATTTTGAATTGTTTTTAAGACTCAGACTCAGATTTTTTAATCAGCTTTCTTTTTTACTTTCTTTTTTTTCGCAACTATTCTCTTTTACTTTCTTTTTTTTTGCAACTTTCTCTTTTACTTTCTTTTTTTCGCAACTTTCTCTTTGACATTCTTTTAGAAAACTTCCCCTCTATCACTTTCTCTTTACTTTCTTTCCTCTTTACTTTCTTTCTTTCTCAACTTTCTCTTTACTTTCTTTCTTCTTTACTTTCTTTCTTTCTCAACTTTCTCTTTACTTTCTTTCTTTAACCCCTTTCTTTTCCTTTCCTTTCTCTCTCCATGCTGTATGTCTCTTTTGTCTAGTGGGTAAGTAACAACAAACAAGCAAATCCTGTCTGTCATAAAAAAATAAACTTAAATAAGCACAAACTTGGGTTTTTCCCATCTTTATCCACATACCCAACACACTGGGGTTTTTCCCAGATAAGTAAAACATGGTTAAGGGGATTTACCCAGGGGATTTACCCAGCACAAACTGTTTTTTTCCCAGATAAGTAATACATGCTCAGGGAATTTACCCACATCCTGCCACACCATAAACTGAGTAAGATTAAGCACATCCTGTTGTCACACACATGAGGTCACTGGGTTTTTCAGGGGACTTACCCACATCCTGCCACCCTGTAAAACTGAGTGGTGACTGTAATAAGAAACTCCACCCCTGGGGGATGTCATTACTTAAAGCAAGTCTCTCTATTGGGTATGAAAAATATAATTCCTCCCTCTCTCAGTTTTTAATTGGATATAAAATGATAGCTCCCTTCACCGTGTACTTTTAGAGTTATACATCTGAACTCTGATATTTAGATTATAAGAATCTCTTAGTGAGTTGAAGAAAGAAGACCTTCAGTGTGCCCAGTGGAAAAGGAGGGATATTTCGTGGTCTTGGTGAGTGTTATTAACTAATTTGGGAAGTGGTAATACATTTTGTTATTTGTGTGTGTGTGTGTGTGTGTGTGTGTGTGTGTGTGTGTGTTGGTGTGTATGTATAGATGTGTTGGTGTGTATGTGTTGGTGTTGGTGTGTGTGTATGTGTGGTGTGTTGGTGTGTATGTGTTGGTGTGTTGGTGTGTATGTGTTGGTGTATTGGTGTGTGTGTGTTAGTGTGTATGTGAGTGTGTATATGTTGGTGTGTTGGTGTGTATGTGTTGGTATGTGTGTGTTTGTTAGTGTGTATGTGAGTGTGTATATGTTGGTGTATTGGTGTTTATGTTAGTGTGTATGTGAGTGTGTATGTGTGTGTGTTGGTGTTTTAGTGTGTATGTGTTGGTGTGTTGGTGTGTGTGTTGGTGTGTTGGTATGTATGTGGTGTGTGTGTATGTGTTGGTGTGTTGGTGTACGAAAATAAAAATTAAAATAAAATTGGGGAAGTGGTAATACATTTGGTTATTGTATTATGTGTGTGTGTGTGTTTGTGTTGGTGTGTATGTGTGTTTGTTTTGGTGTGTGTGTGTGTGTGTGTGTGTGTGTGTGTGTGTTAGTGTGTATGTTGGTGTGTGTGTATGTGTGTGTCTGAGAGCACGAGTTTTCTTTTATAAATGCTGTCACTAAGTACCCCTGTACTGTACAATATACAAACACACCAACGACGACATACCAGAAGTATCACACTGGTGGTAATTTATTTTCTTTCATTAAATTTAAAAGAAAAACACCCCATAAGGGTGAACATAAAAAGTTTGAAGGGGGAAATGGATGTAATTTTGCACATAAGTTTTTTTCTAATATATATATAGATAGAGAACTCACTTTTTCATTAATATGAGATTTCGTATAATATTTAATAACATATTTTGTCCCTAGAGAGTATATCAATGAATTATCAACATTAACATTTATATTTTGTTTATTAACTATTTTTCGAAAGTGTTTTAGTAAAATATTCTTCTTGGTATAATAAGGTATAACAAATATGGGTGTCAGTAAAAGATGAATTATGCCGGCTATATCAATATAACCAATAGCTAAATTTATCAAATTTAATATTGTTATACCTTTATTTTTACAAGACAAATAATTAAAACATGGGCGTATTTTCGGATAACTTATAATAAATTTGGGTGATGAAAAAAGAATATCCCATAGATTGGATTTATTAACCTGTAAGAAATTAAATCCCTTCCCTTTTTTTTTATAAGGGATAACCCATTCATTAGGCATTTCAGTAAAAAAGGAAATCATTGCCATCCTATATTTAGTATTAATTTTATTTACTAATATTAGTCCAGGAATATTAGTAAACTTACAGAATGAATTTTTAAATGAATAAGAGCCTGCGTGAATTTTACAACAATGTAGTAAAAAATGATCAATGATAATTCCAATATTATTGAAAAGATGTTTTTTTTCAATAGTATGATTATTAATTATTTTTATATTATTTAATTCATTCCACCCTGTTAAGGGAATAATTTCATTTATGTAATCCATCTTTTTATACTAAAAAATAAAATAATGATTTGGACTTATCCTTCAGATTATAATATATCTCTTTCAGATTATAATATTCCAGATGCTACTACCATTAACCCCGCTACTTCTACCACCATCACTACCACCACCCCCATTCCCTCCTCCACCCCCATCCCCTCCTCCACCACCACCACCACATCTTCCTCCCCCACCTCCATTAATACTATAAGCATTTACAATAAGCCGGAATACAACAAAGCAATTAATTTAAAATTAGATGAATATGATTTTCAAAGTAAATTATTCCCAAATACCATTAAGTATTTAGAATTAGGAAAATATTCACCTATGTTAATTGTAATTGATTTACATTCATTATGTTTGTGCGACGATAATTTTTTTTTACAAATAAATTCCACCGATAATTTAGGTAAAGTATATACTAGGCCTTTTATGCAAGATCTTTTAATTTATTTTAAAAACGTGAATAAACATAATATTCTTATTTTATGGTCATCTTTAAGAAAATGTCAAATTAATAAAATTTTAATATTGTTAAATATACCTCAATATTTTACAAGTATTCTATCGATGTTAGATTGTGTTAAATCTAATACATTATATAATGTCAACAAATCCTATACTTATTTAATTAAAAAATTTCCTACTTATGAGGGAATGAGATCTCTTATACTGTCTCATCAAGCAGTAAGAGACACGCATACACTAGAAGAGATAAAGAAACAAAATCAATTATTAAATAATACCATTACCCTTAGTAATAGTAATCAATTTGATTTTATAGTATCTATTAAACCATACCGTATTCAAGATATTGTAAATAATTTTGGTGCTTTTAATAAAGAACCCCAACAAATTACCGATTTGGAATCTTTTATTAAAACTAAAGGTTTAAAAGGATTTACCAATACATTTTATAATAAAAATACGGCTGCTGCTGATAAGAAATTAAACAAAAAACCATATTATGGAGATACAACATTATTATCACTAATAATTTTTCTAAATAATAGTTTTTTTTAGAGAAAAAGAAGAAACTGAATTTTTTAGCCACCCTAAATCCCTTTATCCTTATACAATAAAATCTTATATTATTCATAAGAATAAAAATGATTCATTTTGTTCCATTATCAAATATAATAAAAAAATTAATAAAAAATCCTTGAAATTATTAAAATGGCTGTATATAACAGATTGAATTTCTTAATATCATATACTATAATTATTATATTCTTCATACTCCAATCATTAGTAAATATATATAAATGAATTCACTAATTAATGAAGAAACAATCCATCCGCATATACACCATTTTTATCAAAAAGTGCCTATTGATGGTGAAATACTTATATTTGATTTTCTTAACAACAATAATCGATCAATTATTATTAAAAAAAAAACTGATAACAATTTAACTGTAGATCTCAAATTTGATAAAACAAATATGTTATTTTACGATAGAAATGGCGTAATTTATCATTTTTTTAAAAATGAAAATCCTTCTTTAAACATATTAAATAAAAACAGTATACCCCTATCATTGACACCTCATAAATTTAAAACACTTTTTAATACCTCCTAAATTGGCTGATATTTGGAATTTTTGTTGGTTGGGTTGCTGTGTTGCTGTGTTGAATAGTGAGGTCCAATTTTTATTTTTTTTTTCACTTCCCCTGAGTAAAAGAAACTAAAAAGTTTTTATGATTGAATATATATCCTGTAAATAGGAAATATCACTTTCTATGTTATCATTAATCATTGATGTATTATAATATATACTAACTGAATTATTTGCCTTATATTTTCTAATAATAACACTGCTAGAGTCATTTGATAATGATTGTAAAACTATAAATATAAAAATTTTTCGTTTACTTGATAGATGAAAATATATATCTTGTTTATCCTCAATATAAAAACGCGTAAAATAATCAATATCAATAGATTGACCATTTTCACTAATAATTATTGGGGGTTGATGCCAACCATAATTGAATAGAAATAGTAATAATAAGGACTCACCATGATTGGGTAAATTAATAAACTTTTCCGTTAAACTTAATATATCACCATTATCTCCCATATTATTGGAACATTTGTATCCAAGGTTGGATATACTTTTATTAATATTATCATATAAATCATTTTTATTTTTAAATGAAGGATGTATGTAAATATTTCCTAAACATTCCAAATGATAATTATCATCATCACAGTCACAGTTTTCAAGGGTTTTAATTATTGTATTCATCATGGATTACTTAAGAATGAAATATATTTTCAAAGCAAATAATTTTCATAAATTAAATATTAGTTAATCTTTCGCTCAGGCAAGGTAGCTAGCTAACTAAACTAAACAAATCGTAAGCAGAACATCATGATATAAATATTTAAGTAGGAGGGAGGAGTAGAAAAATAATAATTCTAAATTCTAGGCTGGGAAGGGGAGGGGAGAGGAGGGATTACTCACTCATCTTCAGTATCATCTTTATTTCTGTAGTGTAAATACATGCTAATAATACTTAGTATTGATATACATAATCCTTGCAATATATTTAGGAAATATATAAATCGCATTCCCTTATCATTATCATCATCAAATTTTGCATCCTTATATAACATTATTGTAAAGAAAACGACACTTATTGATAGTAGAAGTATAAGTGATAGAATTATATAATCTAACATTGTTTATTCTCTTATTATTTATCTATTTTTATTATTTAAAAAAATAAACTACAAAATTTAAAAAACATATTTTTATATTTTTTACTTATTAAAAAATATAAAATTGAAACATAGGTTATCCACATCTCGTATTAATGAAAATGAATTAGATAATGATGAACCTTCTTCGTCGTCCTTTGTTAACAAATTGACATTTAAAAATACAATAGATAATGGCAATCCAAAGACTAAAAACAGTGATCTGACTAATTTATTTAATTTTACCGAGTTTTATAAAAATAATAATGAACATTTCCCTGGAATATTATGTTTCCCAACGTTTTTTATGTATGTTGTAATAGTTATTATCAATACATATGTTAATTTTATATGTATTGATAAACAGAATAATGATATCCATAGAGCTACTATGACATTAATTTCTGGATTTTTCAATGGATTAGAAAGTATAGTAAATATGATAATCTATAAAACTTCACTGACAACCAATTATGAAGCTTTAAAATATATTAAATTAATTAAACCTTTGAAAATTCATAATATATTGTTAAAAGAAAGTTATAATATTTGTCAAAATTTAAAATCAAATAATGGAATGATTAACAACTATAAAGTCCATCATAGCATATTTGCATTGGAAACGTATATGATACATAAATTAGATATTTGAATTTATAGAAAGACTCTACATTATTCTAATTTAAAAATAAATAAAGTTAATAATACATCAGATTTAATAAATGTTTTAATAGCTAAAGGGGTTCTAAACCCTTCCTATCGCGATGATTTTGTTTTTATGTCGTCAAAAGAAAAATTTCTTCCTAATTCTTTACAATATACAAAGTTTTCAATGAAATTAGAAAATTTACCTCCCGAACGAAGAGGGACACGTGAATGGGGTCCATTTTATTGGCGAATTTTTCACTCAATTGGCGATTCTAAAGTTCCTTTAAATATTAGAATTAAAGGAAAGAAAAATACACGATGGCTACCCCAAAAAATGAAATCAATTCAAAATAGTTTTCTAAGTATTTTACCGATACTTTTACCATGTAAATTCTGTCAAATACACTATTTAACAAATATTAAACCTCATACATATCCAGAAACTTTAGATAATGTTAAATTAATTTATAATAATATTCATTCTAAAGTAACAAATGGTATCAATTAGAACACAACAAACATACACCAACACATACACACATACCAACACACACAAACATATACACCAACACACACACACAGATACACATACACCAACACACACACAGACACAGACACCAACAATACACACTAACACACACACACCAACACACACATACACACCGACACACCAACATACACCAACATATACACACACACCAACACACACACCAACATACGCATTTTACACACACATATACACCCACCCTAACACACACATACCAACACACATACATATACACCAACAATAACCAAATGTATTACCACTTCCCAAATTCTATTTTCATTTTTATTTTCGCATTTTATACACACACACATACATACACACCAACACATACACACATACACATACACCATCAGACCAACACATACACCAACACCAACATACACACCAACACACACACCTACACATACACCAACACACCAACACATACACCAACACCAACATACACACCAACATACACACCAACACACACACCTACACATACACCAACACACCAACACATACACCAACACCAACATACACACCAACATACACACCAACACACACACCTACACATACACCAACACACATACACACACACACACACACACACTAACTACTTGGTTTTTCCATTGAATGGATTTCTATTTTAACTTTGGTGATATGCTCTCTAGGGAAAAAATATGTGAACTTTTCATGCTTTGTCAAGATGTAAGGGGAGTGTCCAATAAACTAATCCCCTTGTTGGTTTTTCTGAAATTGACAGCCCAATACAACTAAATTGACTTGACTTTTTTTCCAGTTACTCTTCATATCGTATTTATGGGAATCAAGTACAAGAAAAAAAGGAAGGAAGAAGGCTAAAAAAAAAAAACTTACTGGTGTAACACAGTACCAAAAACAAATACGGTAACTGAACAACAGCTGAGCGGAGAAAAAAACAAACAAATCACAAAATAAGGTTGGTAATTAGTTATAAGTCACTTCCATTTGAAGACATTGTTTCATTTAATATATTATTATTTATAATGAAATTAATTTCTGTTATTGCTTTATTTAAATCATCTAACTTATTTTTTTAGCCATTTTTCATAATCGGAAATAGTTTGAAGTTTTTCTCTTTGTTGTGAAGCTAACAGTTCTTTATTAACATCATTATGATGTTGAAGATTGCTTAATTCACTAATATATAAATTAATGTTATTTTTATAATAGTCATGTAATGATGTTATAACATTTTCAGTATCGTTTCTGTTTGAAATAATTAAATTTTCATATTCATATTTTAAATACTTTTTTCTAATTCAAATTGTCTAGAAAAATTTCTAGATTTGTGTTTGTAGTTGTTTATAGATATGCATAATTTATGAATAATTTGTAACATACAAGTCCATAAATCATTCATATCATACAGATTAGAATTTCTTATATATAATATTATTTTTTCAATACATTCCACTGCTAATTCATAATTAGTATTAGTTTCCTCCTCTTCATTAATTCCTTTAATAAAATTTAACAATTTATATAATAGAGGATATAAATGTTCTTGCCGCCAGTTAAAATTTGTTAACTTTTTTATAAATTCAGTAAATACATTAAACTCTTTAATATCATTAATAGATTCTGCATTAATATCTTTATTTATTTTATTATTATTATCTACACACTCTAATAATGAATGTAGATTCTTTTGTAGTAATGTATTTATTTGTAAATTCTTATTTGTTAAAACATTATTGGTTTTTAAAATATTAAATATAACTAATTCTAATTGAGCATAATTATTTAAAGCAGCTTCAAAATTTTTATTTTTTAAGTTTCCATTGATATTAAATAAGAAGTTTGTCATTTTTATATATAAAATTTGACTAGTGATAAGTTTGAGTATATTTTTATTATTTTATATTTATAATAATATCATTCATTGTTTAAAGTTTTAACGGGTAAAAATGTATGACCAAACAGAGAAGGGGGAATATAATTTATTATTTGATTTATAAATTCTTTATTCGAATGCCTCATATGTTCTGTAGGTGATATTCCTTTTTGAATTAATAATTTTAAATATATCATAGCATGAATTATTATAATACTAAGATTAAGTTGATATATACTAACTTTATGATATAAATTAGTAAAATTAGTAGTTATTGTGGTAGTGGTATCTTCATCAGTATTATATAGTATGCGATTCGATCCTAATATATTATACCTTTTATCTAATAAATTATTATTATCATCTAAAGTAATACTATAAGTGTCTAATCCACTAATAATAGATTTTTGATTGTCTAATGATGAAAATGTTTCAGATATAACAATATTATTGGGTGTTAGTTCTGTTGAAAAGTATAATATGTATATATTATTATTATATATAAATACATTGATAAATTCTAAATCATTTTCATGTAACCGTTCCCCGTTACTTTTCCTATCACCCTCTAAGGCTAATTTTATTAATTAAGAATTTATTTGAGATTTAGATATAGGGTTATCTATATCTATAAAAATAAACTGTTGTTTCTTATGAATTTCTTTAAAGAAATTATTAAAAATGAATTTATCGATATCCCAAAATAATTGATAAACTAATATCTCATTGTGTGAAGCTAGATAATTCATATAGCTAATAAAATTTTCATAAACAACATTCATTGTAAATTTGGAACTTTGCTCTGTATAGATCACAGCGGCAATAGGTGTGACAGTAAAAATATTATCCTTTCCCAAACATTGTTCAAGTCGTTTCACTCTAAATTCTAAAGATTGCAATATTGTTAATTGATTTAAATCGAAATCTTCGATATAATTTGTATTTAACTCTCTTTCATCAAATGGAGTATCACGATCAAAAGTGTATGTTTCCCGCTCACGAAGGAGACCTCCTGCAGTTGAAATTACATCATTTGACGATGACAACAACGACGTATTTCCTTCTCCATCCGCCTTAAATCTTTTAATTGTTTGTTTATTTGTTTTAAAATTATTAATAATTGAAGAACGTTTTTCTTTTTCATTATCTTTTTCTTCATCGTAAAATGAAACCTTTTTTTTTTATTTAGTTGTGTTGTCATTTTTAGTAGTAGTATTTTTTAATATTAAATAATAAACTTATTTAAATTACAATAAACACATATGATTCTCAATAAACACATATAATTTACTGCACAATTCTCAATAAACACATATAATCTTCTGTATGATTCTTAATAACCATATAATCTACTGTATGATTCTCAATATACACATATAATATACTGTATGATTCTCAATATACACATATAATATACTGTATGATTCTCAATATATATATATAATCTACTGTATGAAACTCAATATACATATATAATCTAATTATAATTATTAATATACATATAATCTACTATATGAGTGTCACTTTATACATATATTTTACACATAGTAGAATATATTTATGTTAAGGAATCATACAATAGATTATATGTTTATATTGAGAATCTGTATAGTAGATTATATCTGTTTATTGATATCCATATAGCTATAAATTTTGTTTATGTATATAAATAATGTCTTATCCTTTTATTATTTTAAACTCCTTTTTTATTTATAGATAAATGGAGTAAAAGAAGTAATCATCAACAACAAACATGGAATCTATGGAATCATCTTTTATTTTCTTAAATATTGTGTCATTTTTGACATACGCATCAATATATAATCGCAAACAGTCCTTTCTTTTACTTGATAATATACATAAGTGTTCCCGTAAAGGCTATATTGATAAATTATCTGAACAAGGGTTCTACTTTGATTGGATGCGCAAAGGAACTAAAAGTGGTAGATTTAATTTTGTATGTTTCCATTGTCATAGACGATGGAAATGTACGGTTGAGAATAACGTAGATTTATGGTCTATGGGTGTCTTTGAGGAAATTAATGAGCATCAATGTGACACAAAAATATCAATAGATTATGAAAATACTCACCTAATAATTGCAATAATCATGTCTTTTTGCAAATATGATGAACATTACTTAAAAGGATTTTTTGAAGAACGACCAACAATGAACATACAACAAAATCGTATTGATTCCTTTATAAGTCATTCTTGTTTCTTTAAGAAAGATGAGTATTCTAGAAATAACCCCAGCTTTTACTTGTATAATACTTGTATGTATTCCCCTCCTACATTTAGATGTACATGTTGTTTCTTTAATATACAATTACCATATTTAATATTACATGGTGGCCCCGGCCATATTACAAAGCTTCATAATAAATATTTAAAAGAGATACAAGAGAATGAAATAAAACTCCCGGCAGATTTTTCATGGCCTTATTATGGTAATAGAATATTTGAAAATAATTACACAGATAATAACACACTTACAAATACCAAGAATAATTGGGTTCATGTAATACGGCAAATCTACTATAATGCTAATATACGTTTAAGTAAAAATATCTTTTTAAATGATATAAGCAATCTTTCTCATTTAGTAGAGGAGGGTCGACGACAACAAATATTGTTGATGAAGGAGGAGGATCGACGACGACAAATGTCGGTGGAGGAGGAGGAGGAGGAAGAAACTGAAACGGAAAGAGCAGCAAATTTTCTTGTAGAAAATTTGGACCCATCTCAAATTGTACCCCAAATTGTATCCCCAATAATTATTCAGCGGAAACATTATGGTAAAAAAATTCGGATGGAGTCCAATTCCCCAGTACCAGAAGAGAAAACTCCTCCTCTTCATTCTTCTCTTCTTCCTCATTCTCCTCTTCCTCCTTCTCCTTTTCCTCCTTCTTCTCCTCATCTTCTTCCTCATCAGTCTCCTCTTCTTCCTCATTCTCCTTCTTATCCTCCTCCTCCTTCTCCTCATCTTCTTCCTCATCAGTCTCCTCTTCTTCCTCATTCTCCTTCTTATCCTCCTCCTCCTTCTCCTCATCTTCTTCCTCATCAGTCTCCTCTTCTTCCTCATTCTCCTTCTTATCCTCCTCCTCCTCATCTTCTTCCTCATCAGTCTCCTCCTCCTTCTCCTCCTCCTCCTTCTCCTCCTCCTCCTTCTTCTTCTTCTTCTTCTTCTTCTTCTTCTTCTTCTTCTTCTTCTTCTTCTTCTTCTTCTTCTTCTTCTTCTTCTTCTTCTTCTTCTTCTTCTTCTTCTTCTTCTTCTTCAAACCTTTCTCAACAACAAGTTCTTACTGATACTACTATTTTGGATATTACATCCTTTCCTTCTACCTCTACCACTATTACACCCTTTCCTTCTACCTCTACCACTAAATCACCAACTAAAAAAAGAAAAATTAAACAAGTAACACCCCCCCCTAAAAAAAACAAAAAAAAACATAACTTACAAAATAAAGTAAATGAACTAGAAGTAGTAGTAAAAGAAATGTTTAGACTACCACAAATTCAACAGCAAATGCCACAACACTTTTCTTCTCAAATTTCTTTCCTATTGGCCTCAGTTCTTCCACAATCACCATTGGCCTCGCTTCCACAACCACCATTGGCCTCGGCTTCGAAACCATTGACGGTTGTCCAACAGCCGGCGACGGCTATTGGACAACCGTCGACGGCTATTGAACAATCGACAGCGATTATTAAATCGCTGTCGATGCCGTCGATGCTGTCGATGCTATCGACATCAGCAACATTTACACCACCACCACCACCACTACCACCACCACCACCACCGTCGACGGTTGTCCACCAACAGCCGGCGACGGCTATTGGTGGACAATCGGCGCCGGTTGTTAAACCGACGTCGATGTCATCGACTTCAGCAGCATTTACACCACCACAAATGCCGCCACAATTTTCTTCAGTTCTTCCACAACCCCTATTGGCCTCGGCCTCGAAACCGTCGACCGTTGTCCACCAACAGCCGGCGACGGCTATTGGTGGACAATCGGCGCCGGTTGTTAAACCGACGTCGATGTCATCAATGCCATCGACATCAGCAGCATTTACACCACCAACATCATCACAAATTCAACAACAACAAATTCTTCCACCACCACAATTTTCTTCTCAATTTTCTTTTCTATCAGCCTCGAAACCGTCGACGGTTGTCCACCAACAGCCGGCGACGGCTATTGGTGGACAATCGGCGCCGGTTGTTAAACCGACGTCGATGTCATCAATGCCATCGACATCAGCAGCATTTACACCACCAACATCATCACAAATTCAACAACAACAAATTCTTCCACCACCACAATTTTCTTCTCAATTTTCTTCTCTATCGGCCTCAGTTCTTCCACAACCACCATTGGTCTCAGCCTCGAAAGTTGTTCTTTCACAACCGCCGATACCATCGACATCAGCATTTACACCACAACAAATTCAACAACAATTGCCGTCGCAATTTTCTTCTCTACTGTCATTACAACAACAAAAACATTATTTACAATTATGGCATCAACAACAACAACAAATGATCGAACAACAAATACAATTATACAACACCTCTGACTCATGGGAGGCTGAGTTATTCCTTAAATGTTTAGAGGAAGGAAATGGTGGTGGTGGTGGTGGTGGTGGTGGTGGAGGAGCAGTGGGAAATGATGTTGGTAGTGGTGGTAGTGGTGGTGGTGATGGTGGTGGTGGAGGTGAAGGTGGTGGTGGTGGAAATGGAGCAGTGGGAAATGGTGGTGGAGATGGAGCAGTGGGAAATGGAGGAGGAGGAGGAGGAGGAGGAGGAGGAGGAAGAGAAAGAGGAGGAGGAGGAGTTATTTATTCTCCTATAACTCCAATAAGTATGGAAATCTAAGTTGTAAAAATGTATATTTCTTGTTTTTTAATGTGATAATTATATATAATATTTTTGTATTTAAATGACCCTATTTTACAGATATATAATATCATTATCATTTACAACACAATGTATCATGTATTTATATATATTTGATGATAATATTTCTGGAAAATTCTCCTTAAATAGTATTCTTAAAATATCATTAATACATATATTAGTATTAGGGTATCTATCTATAAAGTTGGCTATACTGATAGCTTCATTATTATTTTTCTCATTATTTTTAATCTCATTTGTCTCATATGGTACAAAGTATGCAGCTGGTTTTGTACATTGAAGATATGTTGATGACATTTTTATATTATTTTTATATTTTATTATTAAATAAAAATAAAAGTTGTAACTTCTTTGACTTTCAATTAAATTCCCTGTAATTTTTTCTTTACAATTATAAAAAATAAGTTCAAATAATGGAAGGAATACAAAACTCTACTACTATTAATCCTCTCAGTGGTGGTGGTGGTAGTGGTGGTGGTGGTGGTGGTGGTGGTAGTGGTGGTGGTGGTAGTGGTGGTGGTGGTGGTTCTACAAATATAGTAAATTCAACTACCTCTACTACTCTTAATAGTAGTATTAAACCACCCATTTCCACTACTCCAATAATACCTCAACCTCAGCAAGTGCAACCAATAGATACAAAGACACAAAATATGTTAAATACACTTATGAGTGAGATTTCAAATGCAAGCATTAAAGACCCTAATCAGGCTTTATTAATTAATAAATGGTTAGCGGCATATATAAATAAAATTACTCAAAATCCATGTTCGTTTATTCATCCAACATTTAATACTATTGAATTGGAGAATCCACACTTAAAACGTATATATCAAATCCATAAAAGTGTGTATGAAAATAATAATAAAAATGATAGCTCATTCTCTGCAATATGTAGCAGCTGTAGATATATAAAGTTGGGTCTGTTACTTGCCAATCTTAAACGAAAAATTAAAAACTATACATGTATGCCAACTAATAATAATGAAGAAAATAACAATGAAATTGAATATGATTTAGGTTTATTCTTTAATGCTGTTAATAGTTACGACTTAAATACACAAACTATTCCAAATATGATAAATGCAACTCCTGTTGCCTGTCAAGCAGGTTGTGTTATATTTCCAGATCCAAAAATATTTTTACAAATTATAGGAATGCCTCCAGAAAGTATTATTGGTGGTGTTAAGGTGATACAGCTAATGACTGATGAGGAAATAATTACTGACGATTATGACGCTACATTAAAACTATATAATGAAGTAATGAAAAACCTACCCGATATGCTTAATGTTGGTTATTATACCTATAATTCAAAAACTCCTCCAGATAAGAATAAACTAGTAGAGACCCCATGTCAATATAAATTGATAGAACAACCTACTAATAAAAATAAACAACAAACTAATGATGTATATATGAAAATTTTTGATATTAATCCACATATATTCCTTTATTACCATCAGCTTGCTATATCAGAATTGGATGTTAATATAAATTATAATATTTATAAAGTTAAGAGCAATAATAACAACGAAGACGTTGGTAGTTTAATTGGGAAAAGTGGTGGAGGGGATTATTTGAAACAGAAAACGAGTAAATCATCTACTAATTTTTCAGGGCATAAAATACATGACCTTTTAGCACTCAGTTTTCATTTTTGTAAAGATATTAATGATTTAAAAAATGTTGCTCCATTAAACGGACAATGTATAGTTGCACCACACAATATCTTATTTATAAATGAACAAGGTAATGCAATCTTTAGATTCAGGGAATATATAAAAGGTATTAAAATACCTCCTTGTGACACTCTTAAACGTACCCTAGAACAACAATCTCAATCTTCAAAGAAACGCCGTGGTGGTGTAGTAGCTACAACCACAATTATAACGGATAATTTGCAACGCACACCACCAGACCCCATTAAACCAGATAATACAGATGATCTTCTTAAAATCTCGTCGTCAGGAAAACTACCATATATTACTGAAGACCAATATAAAGACCTTATTAAGAAGCATACGGATTCCTCTCGACAATACAGGGAACATTTAGGTACACACAAAAAAGAAATGTACAATTATTTTGAAATTTTTAATGATGATGCTGGTAATTTAATAGATTCTAAAGCTCATAGTATAGGCTTTTACGAATTTGCCTCACATCTTTATCCTGAAATAGTCAAAACTTCAGTCAAAGGATTCAAGCGTAAAAATATCGATATTTTTACCACTAATATAAATAGTTCTGATGTTTATACAGTGGACAATCAAACGCCTAATGTAATGTATGCGAATAATATAGGATTTGTTACATTACGGTCAATATGTCGTGATGAAATGCTCGTTCTTAAAAATACAGAGGTTTTGTTTATAAATATGAGAAATAGATCTACTCCTGGTTATAAATTTATTTCTATAAAAGATTTATCGAGTGGAGGTAATATAACTCATTATTCTCAAATGCATGATATTATTCTTAATACAAATGAAAATATACTGAAAAAAATTATTGGAAATAAAAACGATAAAGACTTAGTTATATCTACGGGTATAGAAACTATTCCCAATCCTAGCCAAGTTTCCTGTAATATTACAGATTTTAAAAATTATACCAAACACGTTACAGAAGATTGTACAAAGCTTTGGTAAGAAAAAAAAATTAATAATATATATTAAAAAAGTAGGTACGGTATTACTAAAATAATAGTAGGTAGTCGGTAGTGGAAGAAATAGTATGTCTGTATTTTCGTTTAATGCCTATTATAGAGGAGAATTTATTATTCCCTTTTTGTGTTTTAGCAAAAAAATGCTTATATACCCACCTGCTCTTAATAGGAGAATTCTAGTGTATATACATCAAAATGAAACTGAACATATTTTAACTACACATCAAAAAGGGAATTTTGAAAAAAAAGAGGAAATGATTGATTTTACTATAAAGCTTCTGGAGAAATTTAAAAGAAAATATACTGTAAACTATGAAGCAGAAATAATTTTAGACAAAACAAATACTATAGATATTTTAAATACCTCCTTATCAATATATATCGTTTATATTCAAAAACCATATTCATTTTTCAGATATCCCTCATATCAAACCAGTATCGAAGATAGAGTAAATTGTATTAATTATAATACAAAAAAAATTAATAATACAGTTGAAACGTGGTTGAACAAACTCTGATTTTATTAATGCTTGCAATCAGATCAGATTTGAAATTTGACCCCGAAAGGGCTAGCTAGTTTATTGGTCACTCCTCTTCCTTATATCTTGTGCAAGGAAGGTCAAGCGCAGAAGAAGAGTTTAGTACCCCCCCGCCCATCTGGGATAAATTCTTTGCGATCCTTTATGTGGGGAAAAGTTCCGGTGTATGTGTATAATAATAATGTCAAGTTGCCAGGCCTGTTACTAAGGAGTATTACAATGCCATTCATTCTTCTTATGATTTATTTCATATTTATTTTCGAGACATTTATTCAGGTAATATAATTGTGTAAAAGATAAATTATCAGTTTTAAGTTTCATGAAGGAAGGTAAATTAAGTTGTAAACCTTTATTGTAATAGTATAACAGAGCATTGTGAATAGTATTTTCCTGCGAATCTTTTGGAATATAGTTTAAATATATTGCTTCTTGAAAAGATTTTATTTCACCTTTATAAATAGGGATATATTGATAAATATTATTGTTACTTATAATTAAAAATGATATTTTTACATTAATTATTCCAGAATCAGATTCAAATTTTATAAAATCGCCTTCAATCTCCCAAACTTTATAAAGTTTTTTTTTTTTCATTAACGAATTAATTTCATTTACAACTTTATTAATTTTAGATTCATGATGCATCGTATTTTCCATTTTTTTGGTATAAAAATAATTTTTATAAATAATGTTTCATATTCAAATATGAAAATGGTAGTTTTCTCCAGTGGTACCCCCTTCTGAGGGGTAATTTTCCATCGTCCGTCCGTCCATTTTCAACAGCTAAATCTTTCTTCCGATCTAGAAAGAAAAATAAATTAATAATATTTTCACAAAAGGATTTATAGTATATAGGATATAAGTAAAGTTTTAAAATACAATAATCAATAATCACCTGTCGTTACACTTGGTAGTAATCAAATGTCTGTCAGTGTTGTTGAAATTTTTCATCTAGCTGCCGGTAATCGCATATTAGGCAATTGTTACCATTTTTTGTTTTCGCTCCACTGCTGCCGCCATTAATCAATCTTCAGCTAGAAATAAAAACTAAAAGTTAGTTTACTTTAAAAGATACGAATAAACTTTAAAATCCCAATAAAAATTTGACAAAAAAAAAAACATGTTTACATGGTTATGACCTTCCAACTTTTAACAGTACATACACAAGTGTAAATGAATGAATACAATGTAGAGGGTCTAGGTTTATATTAAAATTATGTTTATAAAATTATGTTTATATAATTGTAGAA